GCCTGGCCCACCTGCAGCAGAGGGCGGGGCATTTCTCCCAGGTCTCACTCACTCACTCACTCACTCACTCACTCACTCACTCACTCACTCACTCACTCACTCACACACACTCAAAATTGCATGACCCAGGGGTTAATGTCTCCCCACCCAGCACCCTAACAAACCTCCAAGGAGCTCTCTCTCTCTCTCTCTCTCTCTCTCTCTCTCTCTCTCTCTCTCTCTCACACACACACACACACACACACAATTGTGCATAAAAGTCAAGCCCTCTCGTTGTTTGCCATCATCAAGGTTTCAATCCACATATTCACATGGCTCAAGAACCAATATCTACCCCTCCCCCCAGCTCATACATATTGCAGCTCACGTAACACTCACACTTAAACTCCAGTGTAGTCCAAGAGATGACCCCACCAATAACCACGAATGCCCACATCCCTACAGCAGCTTCTCCCTGCCTATCTCCTACCAGAGCAGGCATGTCTCTACTCTCCTGGTCTACTGGAAACAGCAAGAAGAGCGCATCTCTAAAGGCAGGGAGCCAAAAGTTCTGAGCTGATTAAGACCACTTCCCTCGCTGAGCCCCGTTTCCCTGTCTGGACAGTGGTAAGGACGCTAATGTTGACCTTGAAGGGTTGTAGTGAGAATTCTAGAAAGTGCTGAGCTGTTGGCAACTGTTTTTTTTTATGAATATTTGCACCCTTTTTCTTAGTTTTAATGGAATCCGTGCCCAGAATGACAGATCTACTGCTGCCATGACAAAATGTTCGCATGAGGGCATGCACAGCAGGAAATGCTGAGTTTGCAGTTTTTCTGCAGGAATGCTGGGAGTGATTTGGCTTAAGAAACTCAGGCTCTCTCTCAGCCTTCTTCAGGAACCTGTAGCCTCAAGAAGCCCTTTACTCCTCTCTGTCCCTTTTTTCCTATACTTCTATACCCTGTTTCCCTGACTACACATGCCATTTCCTTCCAAGAACACCCAGATGGTCAAGGTGGCTGACTGGTTTCCCCGACTCCTCCACACCAGACTCCACTGTCCCCAACCACAGTTATCTGAACCCAGCCTCTAAATGACTCCAGAGAGTAGCTCTAGAACACAGCAGCCCGATTCCAGGTGAAGCTGTCTGTCTGTCCAACATGATAGCTGCTCAGGTCGGTAGAGAACTCTGGAAACGGAGTATCATTCATCTTAACATTTAGAACCTGCCAAACTAAAGCAGGACAAGACATTCCAGTTCCCATGTGACATTCCTGGGGAGCCCTCTGGAGTATGAAGAGCCACAGTGAATTTTCATGGAATGGAATTCCAGTTCACTTTAGGTGATTGGGTTGAATCCCAACCTTATGATGGGATGCTTTTTGTGTGGGGGGGGGGGAGAAGAGAAGGATAGTCCAAAATAAACGATTGTAAATAATCAATTTACCTTCCGCCATTTGTTTTTGCCCAACAACCTCGAGTTTCAGAGTCAAAGGCTCAGTTGAAGGTGCTCTTACACTAGGTGGCAGTTCACAGGAACCAGTATTACACTGAAGCAAGCCAAGCCACTTGTGGCAGAGCTGTTCAGTGCCACTGGCCTTTCATCTGAAGGTAACTCCTCCAGCTTTACCTTTATCAATAATGAAGGTGACACTGTGGGTACCATCTGCTACTCTTTTGTTTTGCTAATCTGTTTATTCCAAACTGAACAGGGGAAGAGAGAGACTATGTATTGGTTGTTCTCAGAACTTCAACATAACTACAGTCCACAAATGCAATACTTGTATTTCCCCCTTCTCTTTTTATTTTTGCCTTCCCAAGGCTTGTAGTGCTGTTACCTGCTGTGACCTGCCAACCAAAATCCAGCTGTCAAGTGGCAAAACTTTTCCTAGGGAGTTGCAACACACATCTGCTCAGCCTAGATAGGGATCAGATCAAAGTATGCATACCATGAAGTCCAGCTTGGTGACCAGTGGGTTGTATTGGGAATGCTTATAGGAGTATGGATGGAGGTTACTTACAGAAGCAGAAATGATTGGAAAACAGCTGCATCACTGAAGCCCACCCCAGAGTGAGTGGCAGGTCACAAAGCTGGGAACTTGGGTCACCCTGCACAGCCTGCAAACAGTTCACCAGTTTGGAGAGTGTCCTTTCCAGGTGCCTCAGCTGGCTTCTGCTTCTTCTAGGCAGTGGGTCTGCTCTCAGACTCTTTGCAGCTTGGCATTCTTCCTCTGAGGAGGACTCTCAACTTTATTGCTTACTCTGGCAGGGAGGGACCTAGTGAATCTGGTCAATTTCAGGAACTTCCTGGAACTATTTTGAATTGTGTACCTTCCTTCTTTTAAGGGGCTTTCATAAAAGATGAGATGTTTTAATTCCAGAGGAAACTTACATACTACCAACTCAAATCCCTGACCTTCTCTAGTTCTAACCAGAATGTAGTCTCTTCCATGTTACCACTTCCCAAACACTTGGGCTTCTTTTATTTGTTTTTTGTTTTGTTTTGTTTTTCTTTGAGACAGAGTCAGCCCAGGCTGTCCTAAAACTCCTCATCTTGTTTTCTTCACCTCCTGGGTTCTGGGATTACAGGCGTATGTGCCACCACATCCGACCCTTCCCCGCCCTGTCACAGACCTTCCCACACAGTGTTTGTTTAATTTTATTATTACTTTTGAAATTAATTTTAATTATGGGCATGCACGAGTGTGTGTGTGTGTGTGTGTGTGTGTGTGTGTGTGTGTGTGTGTGTGTGAGCTGGTATGGGTGTGTGCATACCTGTGAATGCAGGTGACAGAGGGGTGCAGAGATTCCTTGGAGCTGGATTACAGGTGGTGGTGAGCTACCCTGTATGTGTGCTGGGAAACTAACTCTGGTCCCCTGGGAGAGCAGTATGTACATGTTCTCAACCAAGCAGCCAACTCTCCAGCCCACAATCTTACTTTCTTATAAATAGCAGAGTGTGACTATCATGACTTCTTACTCTTAAGCAGTTAATAGGGTAAGCAGGGAACAATTGATTGAAAAGTCATGACATCCATATTGAAGTTAGTTAGCAGCAGCAGGTGATGATGACTGCATGTTAAATGTGCTGAAGGAATAATGCTTTTACAGCTGTCAACCATCTTCACCTCCAGAACTTGGAAGCTAATAGGCAAAACAGAACAAAAACAGGAGGGACATCTCTGATTAGAAAACCTCATGAGCATCCCAGTTTGTGTGTGCTGTGAATCAAAGCCTGGCCCTTTGCAAGAACAAACGCTGTTAACCTCTGGGCCATCTCTCCAGTCCCATAAATCCCAGTTTAAAAGAGGTCATACTTACACATAGGAGACTCTTACCCACACTTAGAGACCTGAAAGAGACCCTGGGAGTGTGAAAGGGCTCATCCTGAGGACTGTGGAGCCCCAAAGCTCAATTTCCTAGGTATTTCTTCTGGCACAAGGCCACACCGCAGAACTATAGTTAGCACACACAGGAAAGACAGGGAAGCTGCAAAGTAAAGAATAGAAAGATTAACATCCATAAATATTTAAACTGGTAAAAAGGAGCTGGTCCTTTAAAGAGCCATTTAATATAAAAATATAAGATCTACATATGTTGAACATCTTTTCGTTGTTGATCATGCTGGTGATGAGCCTGGATGGCCTGAGAAGGTCCCAAGGGAGGGTCAGTTTGTCCTCACCTTGAGGAACAAAAGAAGACTAGTCCCAGGTGGAGGGTAATGGCTGGAAAATGGAAAGCCTCTCACAAGTGCTGAGTAAAGAGCCAGCCGTGTGTCTGTCTGACTGTGGGCATGGGTGTGGAGGGGCAGCCACTGGAATACAGTCAAGGCAGGGAGTAGACAGGGTGAAGCTAAGGAATTATGAAGAGACATAAGGAATTCAAAAGCCAGGGGGAGGATCAGAAAGTAGGGAACATTGCTTGCAACACTAGAGTTTGAGCATTTAAAAGCAAGCTAGCTATATGTTGAAACCTTCGTTAATCCAAGAACAAATGCAAGTTTCTGAATTACAATGACTGTACTTGGGAGATTCAATCTGGGGAGACGACTCTGTCAGTAAAGTGCTTGCCATGCAAGCTTGAGGACCTGAGTTCAGATCCCTGATACCCACATAAAAAGTGGGGCCTATACCTATAATCTTAGTGTTGGGGTGGGGGCAGAGACAGGAGGATCCCTGGAGATCTGGGCAGCTAATGTTTCCCAGTAGATGAACTCTAGGTTTAGTGGGAGACTTTGTCTCAAAAAATAAAGTTGGAAGCCATGGAGGAAGATACCAGACATCTACCACAGGTTCACACACACACACATGTATACAGATGTATGCTCATATGTGCACATATACATACATACACAGATATATAGAACACACACACACACACACACACACACACACACACACACACACACACACACACACACACACACACACACATCAACTTCACGGTGCTACAAAAGCAATACCTGTCCGAAAGAAATCCAACTTTGAATTCTGAGTATTGGTCTTTACTCTGACTAGCAATATGCAGCCACAAGGAGCCAGTGGTCTAGGTCAACCATGTAACTGGGGGGGGGGTGTTAAAACACAAATGTGGCATATTGCTTTCTCAAAGTATATGTCCAATAAGTTACACAATAGAGTCAACACTGAATTATAAAACAGATCTTATAGTTGATTCTCTTCCCTCCCCCCAACAGCAAAGGGATATAGATTCAGATTTAAGGTAATCCAGGCTAAGCTATGATGTTTCACAGGCTAGGTATGTTAAGTACTTTTAGGATATTTTCAACTTAATAGGTTTATCGGGACCATAACTTCATGGTAACTGGAGACACGTGCATTCTTAGTGTATGTTAGTTCCTAGGGATCTAAGTCTAGGTAGTGTCACATCAATCAGTGTTTCAATAATTTATCCAACAAATAATTATTAAGCATTAACCATGATCAAGTCACTATTTTAGGCTCTGCGGACGCATTAAGACAGACAAAAGCTTATGCACACATGGAGTTTATATTCCAGTGGGGAAAGAGGGACAGATAAGCAACACAAACATGTTCTCCTTAGCAACATAAGTGTTAGGTGGAGAGCAATGCAGGAAAGAAGAGAGGAGATGGCATATGTGCAGGATACCCTCTGCCCCCGAGGAGCTCAGGCACAGCTGGGAAAGTCAGGTAAACTAAGACAATGTATAGTGCTGTGACTGGGGCTGGGGGCAGGATGCGAATGCCATGGAAGCCCAGAGATTGAGGGCCTAGCTCAGCAAACGAGGGCAGCATGGCTTCACCTGGCTGAGAACCCCATTCTGGAAGGATAAGTGTGTGGGACATAACAAGGAAGGGAACACTAGGTAAAGGCAGAGATGTATGACCTCGCATGTCCAGGAAGGTGCCGCTTACTGCCATGTGCAGTGCAATCTGCTAGCCAGCAAGGGCAGTGGGGCTCACCAAGGGGGTTATTGCACAACCACAGGCCTGGACAGTGAGGTCCTGACATACTGACAGTGGAACTGGACAAGAAAAGAAGAAGCTGAATGTTGAAGCAGGAGGGCTCCCTGTGGATGCCAGTCTGAAGTCTGGGCTGGGGAACAAAGTGACTCTGAGGAATCTGAGATTCGTGGGAGAGGGTAGATACAGTCCTGGAAGAGACCAGGACTCGGGGAATACTATGTGGTGGGAGCAGAGGTTGTGAACTTAGGGGGTAAAGGGGGAAACATTGCCGAGCGGGATGCAGAGAACCATCAGATCTTGACTGAGTGTGGAAGGTGACTTGGTGGGAGGGACATGTGGAGCAGAGAGAATGACTTGTAAGAAAATAAGGCACTCACGGTGACAAATGGCCTTGAGAGAATGGAGCCACCACAGGCAGATTAGGAAAGAAAAGATAAATTCAGATCTAGGCATGCAAAGTGTGTGGATCCCTGTGGAATGCACAGGTACCAGGAATGACAGTTCACATTTATAGAGCATTTGCTATATGGCAGCTGTTGTACTAAGTGTTTTACAGGATCTGTTTATTCCTTGTCCTAACCATGACACTGGAGCTATCATCCACATTTGTACTGGCTAGTTTTATATCAGCTTGACAGAAGCTAGGGTCATTTCAGAAAAAAAGAAACTCAATTGAAAAAATGCCCCACCAGATCTGCCTGTGGAGAAGCCTGAAGTGCATTTTCTTGATTGATAATTGATGTTGGAGGGCCCATCCCACTGTGGGCCATGCCACCCATGGGCTGGTGGTCCTGTGTGCTGTAAGAATGCAGTCTGAGAAAGCCATGAGGAACAAGCCTCTGAGCAATGTTCTCCATGGCCTCTGCTTCAATTTCTTCCTACAGGTTCCTGTCTCGAGTTCCTGCCCTTAGTTTCTTTGGTGATGGCCTGTGATGTGGGAGTGTAATATAAATAAACCCTTTCCTCCCCAAGCTGCTTATGATCATGGTCTTTATCACCCTATGAGAACTGTTCAGTTGGAACCTCCAGCTTGCTCCTACATGGTCTGAAGAAGCCCATCGCTCTCTCTCTCTCTCTCTCCAAACCCTGCCCTCTCAGAGAATCTCCAACAAAGAAAAGGCTCCAAGAAATCCAATTTTGCATTCTTGGCAGCTGTGGAAATTGCCAGCAGCCCAAGTCTCTGCCTGAAGTGTTCAGCTTTTGACCATACTTGAGCACAAACCCAGCTTGTGGCCAACACCCCTTACCTACAGGCTGCATAACCTCCCTGCTTTAGGTCAGCCTGGATCTCTGGGACTGGAGAACTCACCCAGAAGTTGCTTTGCTCAAATAAACCTGTTCTTTTACTTTTTCAATTCATCTTGATCTTTCTTACTGCTTCAGTGGAGAAAACTATTATTGGACTATAGAAAGGCCAAATAATTTGCCTGAGATGATTCAGTTGCTAACAGCTGGACCAGGCTTGGCTGACCACAGAGCTCTCTCTCTCTCACTCTCTCTCTCTCTGTCTCTCTGTCTCTCTCTCTGTCTCTCTCTCTCTC